AGGGGAGGGTATGTAAGCCTTCACACGTGCCTGCACTTTATACCTTACAAAGCAGCCGAGTGCATGGTCCGCGGACTCTGAAGCTGGTTTCCTGGGTTCAGGTCCTGTTCCTACCCAGCATGACCTTGGGCAAATTACAGATTTCCTGTTGCCTCAATTTTCTCCTCTGTATTGTTAGGAAATATTAAGATTTCCTCACCCTCTTTTAGGATTATCGTGAGGATTAGATGAGTTAAATGCTTAGGGTAATGCCTGGCACATGGAAGGAGCTAAGTGTTTACTGCTGTCATTACTCATTTTTTTTTTTTTAAATAATTAATTAATTTTCAGCTGTGTTGGGTCTTCGTTGCTGCACGCAGGCTTCTCATTGCGGTGGCTTCTCTTGTTACAGAGCATGGGCTCTAGGCGTGCAGGCTTCAGTAGTTGCAGCACGCAGGCTCAATAGTTGTGGTGTACGAGCTTAGTTGCTCCGTGGCATGTTCAAGTCCAGACCAGGGCTCGTATCCGTGTCCTCTGCATTGGCAGGCGGATTCTTAACCACTGCGCCCAGGGAAATCCCTATTATTCTTATTACAAGGACTGACTTTGCAGGGAGAAGGAATATATGTCTGTTGACTCCACTGCTTCCATAGCAACCCCACGACGTGGGCAGCATGGTTCTCAGATGACACCTGACGACACAGGGCTGTGGGAGATTTCTGGCCACAGGTCACAAAGTTAGGGAAAGGGAGAGCTGGGATGCAAATTGACATCCTCTGACCCCAAAACCACAGGTGGAGAGACCCGAGAACGGGAGATGTTGCAGGCGATCTTTCCAGCCTCCCGCAGATCACTCCAGCCCCTGAGGTCTGCTCAAGCAGGCAGCTCTCCTGTTGGTGTAACCAGGTGAGGGGTGGTAAGTGGTCATGCTGTGGAGACGTGTTCAGTTCCCTTCTTCCCCTCTGCCCACGCCCCTTACTCTTTTTTCTACCCAGAAAATCAGGGTTTGTCTCCCAGGAGAACATTGCCTCCCCGCCCCCGACCCCCCCACCCCCCCATCCCCCGCTCAGCTTCTGCTTGGACCAGTGCCAGGTAGAGAGCAAGTTCCATCCCGCTGAGAAGCTGTGGCAATGGTTGCAGGAAGGTGTTCTGTACCACACCTGTCTTCTGAGGTTAGTGAATTTGGGGTGGGGGGTGAAAGGCATTGATGCCCAGATGCGATGACATCAGCAGGAGGCTGAAAAGGAGGACCTGAGCTAACACACTCCCATTCACTTATCTGTCCTTTGATTTGCTCTCATCCACCCACTGACCGGCCATCACCTGCCATGCACTGCTCTAGGTGCTGGGACGCTCCCTGAGTCAACATATTGGACAAAATTCCATGTGTGGAATCACAGTCTGTGTTTCCATGAGACCCACAGGCAGAGTCAAGTCTGAGAAGCGCTGTTACTGGGCATTTGGCCCCAGCAGGCAGAAGCAGGTTAGGTGGGGAGATTACGCAATAAACAGGACCCAGCCCAGCTCCACCCCTTCCTCACTGCCTGTCCCACCCCTCAGCTGGGATATGAAAAGCTCTGTCAGCCCCCAGCTTTCCTCAGAAGCCGTCCTGCAAGGCCACAAGCATGAGCCGGCTCTGCCTCTCCATCTCCCTTCTCGTCCTCCTGGTGGTCTGCACCCCAGGGTGTGAACAGAAGAGCCATGCCAGAGGTAAGTCCCGGCTCACCTCTCCTCCACAGGCTGGGCTGGGGGGTGGGGTGGAGTGGGAATGAGGCGAGTCCATGGGAGGGGCTGGGGAGCAGGGGTGGGGTTGGTGCTGACAGCCTCTCTGGATTTCTCCTGGGAAGTTGGGCAGTTTTAACTCCAGGGACATTTCCTGACTCTCAATAGGAAAAAAATTAAAATTAAAATTAAAAAATATATATGCCGCCTTCCTCTACCAGATCAGGAATTCCATCTCTGAGACTCTATTCCTGGTCATTGCCATGTCCCTGAACTTCACTGTAGTGTAATAAAAAGATCAAATATTTGATCCTTGCCCTGATCCTGGAACAGACCTCCAGAAACTCCTGGAATTTACTGGGGTTTTTTTGGTAATGAGGTGAGAAAAGGAAGGCCACGGAGAGACCTGTAGGATGGGGCTGGTCTCCAAAAAAACCCAGTCATGTGTTTAGAGGTTACAACTTTCAACAGCCCGCATCCCAGCATCTCTGGGGAGACGGGAGGGTATTGAGTTGGAGATCAATCAACAATGGCCAATGATTCAATCAATATGTCTATTATTGACACCTCAATAAAAATCCATAAATATTGGGGTTCAGAGAGCTTTCGGGGTGGTGAGCACATGGAGGTGCTGTGGGGGTGCGCTCTACTAGGGCACGGGGCCTCCGCACACCTCTGCTCCCCCTTTGCCCTGCGCATCTCCTCCATTTCGCCGTCCCTGCGCTTTACCCTTTATGATAACCTGGGAACGGTAAGTAAAGGGTTTTCCTGAGTTCTGTCTGCACTTCTATTGGTTAGTGAACATGGAGGTGGGGTCATGGAACCTCCGAGTTTTAGCCAGCCGGTCACAAGCATGAGTGACTCCGGACCACATGGCTCGCATTTGATGTGAGGACAGTCTTGAGCTCTCAACCTGCGGGATCTGCACTAACTCCATGGATTTAGTATCAGAAGTGAATTGCCTTCTGGGATGCCCAGTGGGTGTTTAGGGAATTGTTTGGTGTTGGCAGAGACGCCACCTATCTGGTGTCAGGGAAAAACCAGACTTAGTCTTCCCTGTGATTTGGGGGCTCCAGTGAGGCTTGGGACAGGGGAATAATGAAAGCTGGACACTGCAGCCAGAAACTCTTACCAGTTACCTGTATTTTCAGAATTCCTGGCAGAATCAGGTAGTTTATCTAATGGGTTGTGACATGACAGTATCTTGTCCTGACCCTACGACCCACATGCCGTGTGTCCTGGGGCGAGTCTTCTGCAGTTTCCTCACTTGAAAACGGGAACCACGTTACATGGGTTGTTTGAACAGCTTACCAGTCATGCATTTAAAGAGTTTAAACACATTTCATGGCCAATTTTGTCCATTTTCCACCAAGATGTGTTAAATTGAAAAAATTTCTCTACATACCTCCTTCGGGAAAGAAAAAATATTTAGGTGTCAAATAATGATTATTCCTCTAGGATTAAAGTTAATCAGAAAGATGTGGGACCACTGAGCAGAGCAACTGCAGGGAAAGCAAGAAACACAACGCTTCTGTGAGTTGCTCCTGGGACCACGGCTGATACAGTCTTAGTAAAGGCTCAAGGCCCTTTCCCTTGTGCCTTTTTGACTATCATTTTATTACCCTCTCAGGATATAGAATGAGAGGTAGATTGATAATCACGTAGGCCTGCCCCATCATCAAGGAGACTTTGCACTAACAGGAATTCCATTATCTCCATTCTATTCAATGACTATGCGCTTGGCATGAGCATGAAATGGAAGATTCGTTCCCTGGCCATATATTTATTAAGTCCCTACAGGCTTGGCTTTCGGTGTGGGGAAAGAGCTGTAGACAGAATATGGAAAAATACCTTGCCTTCTCAGAGTGAGACCCACAAGAGCAAAAGGGGAAATGCTCTGCTAGGTTATGAGGTTTTGAAGGTAGAGAGTGATGGGGATAAAAGAGGCTGTGCTCTTTCCGTAGACTGATCAGCGAAACCCTCTGTGATAAGGGGGCGTTGGAGCAGAGGCTGCAGAAAGAACGTGCCTGCTGTGAACCAGCGGCAGCAATCACCAGGGTGGCTGGAGCTGAGTGGGTGGGAGGGGAGGAGGGCGGAAGGGATGAGACCAAAGAGGCCATGGGGACAGGTCCTGACCAGCCTGGTTGGATGAGAATTGGAATTTGACTGTGAGAGAGATGGGGAGTCACTGAGGGACTGGTCATGGGAGCAATGGGATAGGATCCCTGTGGCTGCAGTACGGAGCGTGGCCTCTAGGGGACCAAGGGCAGAGACAGAGGCCCAGGGAGCAGGCTGTTGCAGGGGTCCAGGTGAGCAATGATGGAACGAGTACCTATGTTGTTCCCTGGGTCGATGCCAGTCCTTTTGAACAACAGGAATCTCTTCCTCTGTTGAGGTTTCTATGGAGGCTTCATTATTTAGTCATGATGCATTAAATCATTAGTCATTGGTGACTGTTCAACCTCCAGCTCCTCTCGGATCCCTGAGGTTGGGTGGCGGGCTGAACTGTGGATGGGAGGCCACGAGGGAGAGGGTAGGAATGAAAGTTGCAACCCTCCTGTCAGGCAGTGGTTTCCCCTGGCAACCAGAACCCATTCTGGGGTTACTAGGGTCTTCCCAAAAGTCACCTAGTTCACATAACAAAAGACACTTTCATTGCTTTCAGCACTTAGGAAATAGCAAGGTTTGTAAGAACTGTGTGCCAGGATATTACAAAGAACAAATATATATATATATATATTGCTTATTATAAGTCACAGTATCAATATAGCGTCAATATTCAATTTAGAGAGTCCCTGTGCCGTAACAAAAGAGAACACACTGGTATGTTTTCTTCATGCCTTTTTCCATTACAGCATGATGTCTTCACATTTTTATTAATGGTGGAAACCTTTTACCATACACATAAATGCAGACAATAGTATTATAAAACCCAGGTACCAGCTCTAATAATTATTGATATATGGAGAATATTTTTTACCTGTGTTCTCCTTTTTTCTTTTCTTTTTTTTTTGGTTAGAGTTTTTTAAAGCTAATCAAGAGCATCATACCAATTAATCTTAAAAACTTCATGAAGGAGATATAAACTTTTTCATGATTACCATATCATGGTCACGCCTAGCATCATTAATAATAATGTCTCAGAAAGCAGGTTGGCAAATGGCCTTTTCAATTTGACCAGATCCCCAAACGCTAACATTCTCTATCGCAAACAAACCGGTGGTTTCAGCTGTGACCTTGTAGACTGACCTGTGATGCCAATCCTCCTAACCGACTCAGAGGCCCTCCCATCTCAGCAGGTTCTCAGCCTGCCTTCTGCCTGGAGCCTCAGTACACGGGTCCCTGCAGGGCCCGGAAGATCAGGTACTTCTACAACGCCAAGTCCGGACACTGCGACATCTTTATATACGGCGGCTGCCGAGGGAAGAAGAACAACTTCCTGGCTGCAAGCACTGCGTGAAGACCTGCGGTGGTCTCGCGGGAATCCAGGAGTAAGAAAGGCGGCAGGGCAGGGTGTGAGGGGAAGGGCTGGGGAAAGAGGTGGAGCTCAGGGGGCCACCCACCATTCACACCTGCACAGTGTCTTTCCTCCTCGCTGCCTTCCAGGACAAGTGGCTGCAGTGTCCTGTGAAACCACACACTGAGCACATCCTCCACGGGCCAGCTTGGCAGAAGGTCACCCCTAGAAGCCCCGTCATGAGAATCTGAGCCTCCTCACATGCTCCCCTTTTTCAGATGGAAACACTGAGTCAGCCACCCTACAGAGCAGGTCTGCAGAGCTCCTGAGCTCCCCACCTAGGCTTGGAAACTCACTTCCTTCTTGCTGGCCATTCTGGTCCTGGGAGGACTGTGGTTGCTCATTTCTGGGAGAGTCGAGGATCTGTCAAGATGAATGGTGTCCAAGTGTGTCCTGCCCCTCTTCCTGCCTCAGTCTGTCCATCTGAGACCAGGGAACAGCAGAGACTCCTCCCAACAGCAGAGACTCCTCTTTTCTCCCCCGTCCTCTCTCACGTGTCTGTCTTTCTCTCCCAGTGTCCTCCTCCCTCTGGTCCAGGTTAGAGGCCCCCAGACCCAGAAGCCCCCAAGGGGCCTGTCGACCCTCCACCTCCCACCTCCCTGCTCAAGTGACTGAGTCTCTAGTTTCAAACCTTTCAGACCCCTGGGGGCATCTTTAGAGAAATCACAAGGTGGGAACATCACAGGGGTTTATTCTGGATAAAGACCACGGATCCCAACACTGTGGGACCCCAGTCATATCTCTGCTTCTAGTCCTCAGTTTTTCCCTCTGAAAAATGAGAATCTTGAATTGCATGCTATCTAGGGCCTCTTCTTGAAGTAGATGGAATACACCTGGGGCAGGCAGAAGATGTTTATCTGTTTGTGATGCTGTGCCCTGTGAGAGGTACATTCATATCCAAGACATGAGTGGCCAATTTCTGGCTACGTGATATAACAGCACCTCACTCTTTGGAGCTACATAGTCTTCCTCCTTCCTTGTTTTAATATTTTTAAATTTATTTATTGGGCCGTGCCACGCATCACATGGGATACAGTTCCCCAATCAGGGATCAAACCCACACCTCCTGCATTGGAAGCGCAGAGACTTAACCACTGGACCGCCAGGGGAGTCCCTTAGTCTTCCTCTTTAAAAGAGGTGCCATGAGTACTGGGTTTTTTAGGATTATTTTAAGGATTAAAAAGAAAAGCATAAACCAGAGCTTGCAATCTGGCTAGAATATAAGTATTTTTAGCCCACACAGTACATTTTATAATTTTGAAACATTTGCCAAGATTTAACAGTGGGAGATTTCGTATAAAAGTGAATTTCTGGCACTGTTGGGAAGGTAAATGATTTGGCAACACAGTCCTGCAATTTAACAAGAGCTGTGGCTCTCAAACTTGAGTGAGCCTCAGACTCACTTAGCCAGGCGTTCAGACACAGATTTGAGATCTCCACCCGCAGAGTTTTGATCAGTAGGACAGGGGCGGGGCCTGAGTTTCTGCATCAAACAGGTTTCTGGGTTTGCTGTTGGTGCCGCTCAAGCGACCACACTTTGAAAACCATGAACTAAGCTAAGTAGAGCTGCTCTCTTCTCATGAGGGGAGCATTCTCTCCAGTTTCCATAATCCTCACCATGCCTTATTGTTCCCTCTTCCTCACCCCCATTTCACCTACTTCCATCCACATCACTCACCTGACGTGGAAGGAACTCAAAATTGTGACCTCTGGGGTGGGCTCACAGTAAGTGTTCAGTAAAAGGTAGCTTTTTCTTATTTAACAGTCTTATGAAGTGTTATTATTCCTATTTTACAGATGAAGCAACTGAAATTCAGCTAAGGGGAAATGACTTGCTGAAACAAAAACAGCAGAAAATAGAAAGAAGACACTTGACAAAAACTGTTAGTCATGTGGCCCCAGTTATTTCAATATTACAAATACACAAACACACAAACAACACACAGGCAAATGTATCTGATATTAACATAGATGAGGCATCAAAGATTGCAGACGTGACTTCATGAGAGTAAAATCATTTTTATCAAGAAAAGGAAGAAGGGAAATAGAAAACAGAAGAAGGAAAGGTTAAAAGAGGAGGTTCCATGAGTCAGTTGTAGACATGCCCACCTTAAGGTAACTGTAAACAAGTAACATTGAAGATCTGAGAAATTCCCAGGAACAAAGGTTATGCCTTTCACCATACAATGGAGCTTTCTCCTCTTGGACTGTTGAACCCATTCAAACTCCCTTATCTCCAAGGAAGCTTCTCTCTCTGAGTATATGGGCTATTTTGTTGCTTTGTCACCTAGCGTCTCTTTGTCCTTTTCCTGATACACTAGCCTGATTTTGCTTGAGGAATGACTCTTCCTCCACCCAGGACTGGTGGGATTGGGCCGCCTGTCAATCAAAGTGCCTGCCCTACCCCCAGACCAAGAGTGGCCAATCAGATGCTCTCCCTGGAATTTAACCTTGATCAATGAATCCCAAAAGACCTAAAAATGGAGGTCATTCAGAGGTGGCCTGGGAAGACCTTAGTTCTTCCTTGCTTACCATCCTTTCCAAGCTGAGATCTTTTAGCACTCCCCTCAGTCCGTGAGCTGAACTAAATCAATTAGTGCTATGGGTGTCAACAGAAGAGTCCAAAAGGATCTCACTTAAGGGTACAATCAGGAAGGGAGAATGGATGC